TAACAACGCAACAAAACGACCATTTATAATCAACGACCAACCCTTCCTGGCATGGTCGAGAGGGCCAGCATGCCACCCCCAACCCCTACAGCCGCCCTCTCTGCAATTTCCCCCACCGTACACGTCACGACTGCGGCACAAATCCCGAGCAGAGAGAATATTACGTTCCAGTGGCTGTGGAAGAACTTTAAACCACCCCCGACTGCCCCTCGCGCTTTCAACTATTCCCTCGGATACCCTGCGAAGGTATTCTGTTTTTTAATTTTTATATATATTTTTCTCTCGTGTTTTTCTCTCGTACCTTAGACAGTTAGAGTGACCAAGGCCACTGCTGGCACTAAACTGATAATATGCATTTAAAAAAAAACAGATGGTGCAATTAGTTTTCGAATGATTACCTAATAATCAAGTCGGTAAGAAAATATGAAACCTGCAGAAAATAAAATTCCTTACAAATCAAGGCAAACCCCTTTAAATCTTTCCGAAAGAAATGTCAGCGGTTTACGGAGATTCTTGTCCCGGAAAAACCACGGTTGACAAGTGGCACAGTCTTTTCAAATAAGCTAGACAGCATAAGATAGTAAATCTAATCTTTGCACGAAAACCTCACGAACTCAAAACTAACCTTTTCTTTTTTTCAACGACGGTGTCGTAAACCGTGCCGAACGAGAAAAAAAAACCGAACGTTTGTTGTTCCGTAGGTGGGAACAATGCGTTTTTGCACAATGCATCTTCATTGGAAACAAATCTGGACGCAAAGGGATAAATTACGGCTGGTCAGGATTGCTGCATCGCTTTTGAATTTTGAGGTCGAATTCCGTCCCGACATCGAGCGAAGCCGCTCTCTTTGTACTTTAAATCGTCCAACTATCCTCCGCACTTGCCTCTATCGCGTCTCAGTATCACGCAGCTGAATATTAAATGAACCTCTTCAAATCGTGCGCCATTTGCAACTCTAATAACACGTTAATTCTCGGCCGCTCTGAAAACACACGGACCTTCTTTTAACCGTGTAGGAAAAGAGAACGATAAGAGGACGTTTACGCGACAAGAGAAATTATCTTCGAGTTCTTTCTTTGTATTCTGCAAGGTTGCAATATTTGCAACGTTTAAAGCTGCGGGTCATTTGCATGTTCGTTAATTCTATTAGGAAATGAATAGTAATGTTGTTAAAATATAGTCAGATTGTACGAAAGCAGGAAATAGCGAAAGATTTATCTGAATCGAGAGAAGGACAAATTGCACTTTGCATAAATTTTAGCCTTGAAATTTGTAGATTTAATAGATTTATTTTCCTTGCGAAGAAAGAATACATATGCATAGAAATTAATTTTTCTTTTTATCGTATGCTTGTACCTGCATAACTTAATGAATATTTTTATGTTGCAGTGATTCAATTTTCAAAATTGATAATTCTCAGAGAGACTATGCAAGGTGTTTCTAAATTTTTTCGTTCTACTTTAGGAGTATACTGCACTGACTATAATCATGAAAAAATGAACATATTTATGTATATTATGCAGTCAGATATAGTAAATGTACAGTCAGGCAAATAAATGTGCGTATACAGTAAATGTACAGTCAGTCGAATAAATGTGCATATACAGTAAATATATAGTCCGTCAAAAACATCTGTTAAATAACAATGCATATACAGTCAATGTAGAGTCACTCAGAAAAGTTAACCAAATAACAGTATATATACACTACCGGCCAAAAGTTTGGAATCACCTCCCACTTTTCATCAATATTAAATCTGCTGCTAATTTTTTATAGATTTCAAGTTTATCTCAATTCTACTTTTATCAATTTGTCTCATGTCAATTGATTCGAGCGATAAAAAATTCTCAAAGTCGCTGACTCCTATCAGGAAATTTTTGTGCAAATTGCAATGCTCAGTGATTCCAAAATTTTGGCCGGTGGTGTATGTACAATCAATATACAGTCAGTCAAAACAGTTAGTCAAATAACAGTATGTACAGTAAAAGTACAGTCAGTTAAAAGATTTAGACGAACAACAGTACATATACAGTAAATATGTAATCGGTTAAAAAATTTAGCGGAATAACAGTACATACACTACCGGCCAAATATTTGGAATCACTGTGCATTGCAAGTTGCACAAAAATTCCTCCAAAAAAGGTAGCATTTATGATAATTTTTTAACGAATTTTTTATCATTCAAATCAATCGAAATGAGGTAAAGTGCTATTGATCTCCACAACATCAATTTCAAATCAATAAAGAATTAGTATCAGATTCGATGTTAATGTAAATTGGCAGGTGATTCCAAACTTTTGGCCGGTATCTTCTCAAAAAAATCTTCTCACATCCAATCAATGTATTATAGTAATAAAGGAAACTAGGAATACAGGTTGTTACAAAATATTTAATGTACGAGCAGATTAGAATCATGCTGACCTGTCTGACATTTCACTCGAACATATTCCCTAATGAGAAACTGCGTAAAGCTACAGCTTGGTAACAAAGCATTCGCAAATATGCAGTTAGCTATTGTACTCATCAGTCACTAAACTTTTACGAGCTAAATATTTCGAACTTGTTAATATCTCTTGGGAACACATTGTTATCCTAAATGAACTAATCATCTCTTGCTTCTGGCACCTGGAAATGAAGACGTTTTTACAATTTCTTGCAACTACAACTCTCATTGTCCGAAATCCAAATTTGCTCCAAAAAGCATAAATTCCGAATTTTTGTAAAATCATGAAAATTTACAAAATAACATCTTAACCTAAGAGTTTCTCAGGTGCAAGTTTAACTTCTCTCTAGCATAAATAAAAACAAATAGTTAACCTGGAACATTCTAAGATTTAGGCGAATTATCTGTCAATATGAAACGTAAACAACTCTTTTAAATATTTTCTGATAACGCGCATTTTTAATTTGTTCTGATAATATAGGTGTATTACATTAAACGAGTGTACGAAGACTTTTGTGACTAACTGTACGTGTATAAGACATTTTTTCCTCACTGTAGTATTTAGTGCAGTACATTCCTAAAGTTGAAGGAGACACTGCGGAAACACCCTGTATAAAAAAGATTGGAAGTCGCAAAACAAAGTACAACATTACTATCCATTTCATTTTCATCATAGAAATAGAAATAAATTATTGCAATGTAAATAAAAGAAAACGACTACAGCTTAAGAATATAATTACAACGAATCACGAAATCTAACCAAATAATTCTCACCCCTAATTACAGAAATACGTTAGAATGAATATTAAGTACGCAAATTAATTCGGTGTCCCTTTTCACAAACTTCAATATAATCATTTACAAAAAATCCGAACACAGTTACAATTTTCAAAATAATCTCCATTATTTCGTGTAATTTTCTTCCATTTACCGGGCAACTAACGAATTCTCTCTGTGACTATCTGTTTAATAATTACCAGTCGATAAAGTCGTTAAGACTTTCTGAAAAAACTAGTCGAATTAATTTTGTACAGCCAATATTTCTGTTATCCTCTAACTTCGCCATTTGGTTGTGCGCGAATTAGACGACTTATTAATTAAAGTTTAACGAAGCCACTTGAAGGAGAGCGCGAATTATCATGTTTGCTTTCTCTTAAGACGGTGATGGAAAATTGAGCGAACTACCATAACTTAGGGGGTATTAACTAAAATCTATATTGAAGGGGATCTGTATTCTACGGTGAAGACCAATTAATCAAACTAACGAGGTGCGATTTATCTTACTCTACGCTGTACTCCGCCGGAAGCTATGATTAAAAAGAATGCAAGCAATTTACCAATTAATCTCTCCGTTGGCGTTATTTCACATTTCTCGCATTATTTATCGATACCGGTAAGGAAAATATTGAGGTAAGGTGTCAAGTACATCTTGGAAAAAATGGAGAAATTATTATTCGTCAAGACAGTAAAGTAGCTTGCTTGTGCACGAGTCTTTGCAACAAATATTCTGGAATTGTAATTAGTGGCTGAAAAAATGTGCAGAAATTAGTAACGAGATAAGAGAAAGTATAATATTTGTAGACAGATTGAAGACTTTTGGAATTGAAATATATGCATGCATCCTTTGGAAATTATGCGGTAATAATTATTATAATAACTTTTACGTATAATCTTCAAAATTGTATAATATTCATGTTTTCCTCGACATCTTTACTTTATCCATGTTAAACATTCACAGAAACATCGAAAGTTACTAGTACTGGCAAGTATATTTTATTGAGAGAACTTGAAGCATCTGAATCGTGTGAGAATATGAAGATCAACAAAGTAACTCGTGCTTCTACAAATTAGTGTCGTCAACCGAAGAGATTAGTCAGCATACTTGATTCGTCAAGTAAAGAAAATATTTCATCTTCGAAATATCTTTATTTTTCAAAAATATTAACAAGATATTTCTCATTCTCAAGAAGTACATTCTATTTTTCAAATATTACAGTTTTATTTAATTCTTCTATCTAAAAAATTACATATTACGACGAAAAATCGTGGAAAAGTAATGAAAACAAACTGATCGAAATCCACAAACTTGCTTAGTTGTTCGTCGAAATTAATTTACTACTCGTGTCATTGTCGAAGGAAGTAGAATTTTAAAAGAAGAATCTAACTACTCAAAGTACATTCGTGACACGATCAATTACCTCTTATTGTTACCATCGTTTCAAGTAACGGACACCAATTAATCGCAATTAAAATAATTAAAAAAGAAGACCAGTCGTACACAATCATGTCACGAAAATACCTTATTCTGCCTTGTCAAAATATGGATTGGAGAGAGAGAGAGAGAGAGAGAGAGAGAGAGAGAGAGAGAGAGAGGTCGACAAAGGGTGTTCCAACCAAGAAAGGTTCGTGATGTTGGTTCAAGTGCACAAGAATTATGCGACGTCGTACAAAATGCATTAACGAGAGCTATTATCTACTGATCAATACTAGCGATACCTCTACCTAGACCAGGCCATATTAACGTGGGCCCTTGAGCTTAGTAATTAGCGTGACTCACTGTATTCCCACGCCAAGTAATCACCAGCACCCGCCGTAGGCAGCACCGTGCTCCATGCTTCTATGTGTAAACAGAAAGAAGGAAAGGAAGAAAGTAAAAAACTGAACCATGCTGTGAAAATGTATTTGATGAACGAAATGATTGAAAGTCCCTTCCATCCGAACGGAAATATTTTCCTCGATTTTAATCGATGCACGGAGTCGAATCAGAGCTACGAGACGAATGAATAGGAATGATACTACACGAGTAACACTCTTATATATAATAAATAGGGTGTTCTTGAAATTAGGTATGTTTGAGATAGAGTTTGTGTTCGTTTCTGAGATGATATTATGTTGACACTTTACCGACCGGTAGCGGTTGAACATCCTACGCACTTCCGACCGCTCACTCGGCCACAGATACATCGTTGACACCGGCTCTGTTTAGACTCTAGACTATCGCGCGGGAATATACGCGCTTTTTCTTATACCTATAGAAATGTTAAATCAAACTTTCACCGATTAATAGGCTATCGGTCGGTAAGCGTCGGCGGCAGAAAAGCGATTAATAGGCTACCGGTCGGTAAGCGTTGGCGGCCAGAAGCCGATTAATGGGCTACCAGTCGGTAAAGTGTTAATACGGTTGAATGGATGTTTAAAATTTGTGAAAAGTGTTTCTGTTCTAATTAATTGTTTTATTTTGAAAATTAGGATGGGTTAGGATTTAGTTTTAGAATATTTTGAGATTAAAAATGATTGAAATAATTAAAATACACTACATCGATATTGGTAATAATTATTAGAATGTGCTAATGTTTGGTTGTTTAATGAGATTAACTTAGTACACTTGTGTTATCGTTGAAGGGAGTAGAATTTTTAAAGAAAAATCGTCGAAGATATGTAAACGCCATCCTTTTCCATTTTCTTATCGTCGCAACTAGAACACTTGTGTCAAATCTCATACCACATTTTAAAAACACCCTGCAAGGTATAAATAGTACTTGAAGATTTCTTTTAGGATAGAGACTGTATATTTCTTTACTAATTACTATGTTGCATTCTTAAACAAACAACAAAAACCGTCGAGATATTTACTGTTTGAACGAAACAAGTCATTTTTCTTTCCATACAAGAAATTTTCTTCCTAAATCTATTCTAGGTTTTGTCATTCAATATTACTCAATCTTTTCTCCACGTGTACCACACAGTACAAGTAAAGAGGCGTTCAGACGATTAATATATGTATATTGTCAATATTTATTGACTGTCGAGACGGAGTCTCTGAGACTCCGCTGATTCTATCTTTTTTGTTTTCTTCCATTCTATTTAGAACTCAACATTATTATATTAAAATGAAATTAATACAAGCAACCACTCTATTCTATAATGTTCATTAGGAAAATGCGTAATAAAGGTAAATTGGTAAGAAAAGTTGTCAGAAAATCTAGGAACCGACGGAAAAATTTCGAGGGACCCAACGGGGAATCGAACGCGGGACCTTCGGCTTAGCAAGCTGAGGCTTTACGCACTACGCCAAGTACTCCCTCTCTTTTCTCTCTTGTCAGTTTCCTATTTGAGTATGGAGGCCCCGATACTACAGAAATGTTCTATATTTCTCCTCATTTTCCTATTGTACTGACGATATACACCGATCGTCCGAGGGTCCCTTTAAATTCACAATAATGTTGAGAACTAAAATATCTGATCGTCTGAACGCCTCTTAAAAATTTTCTCGAGTCAATCTATGTATCGAGACGGCCGCGTCTCCATTTTCTTCGGCCGCAGATAATCATTTTCCGAAAGTCATCCATTTGTTCAACAGGCGTGATCGAAAGAGGCGAGCTATCGACCAGTGCGTTCCACACGTGGAAACAATAATCTCTTCTTTCGCTCGAACAACATCGACCTCGAACCACCCGTAAAACCGAGGTCCGTGTGCATGGTCCACGGTAAATCCCCTACTGGGAGACAGCTTTAATTGTCCATATTTTCCCATCGCGAAATACAGCGGCCTTCATTTGTGTCTGCTGTTCTATTCAGCATTTTCGTTGATGCGTTTCGCTATTCGCCCGGTGATTTCTTGCACTTCTGCGATCAGCCATTTTCTAACGACTCGGGTATTTCGATAATTGCTTTCGAATGAGTTTGGATATCGTTCAAGAGAGTTCCTGTTTGTTAGGTTTGGAAAAAGTTGTGAACGAGTAAGGTTTGATTTTGTGTCTATTTGCGAAGGACGAATCGTTCAGCACTTCGATTCGAAATAATTTTCTTTTACGCTTCGGAGCATTGGATGTCAAGTTTGAGAAAGTATAGAGGAGCTTGGAATTGATATTAAATTGTGTGTTAATGTGCAATCGTAAATTGCTTTATCGCAGACAGATTGGATGAAATAATCAAGTTCAGACCTCTAATTCTCACGTTGATGAAACTTTGGTAAATGATAGTACTAAAAAAAATACTTGACACGTATTTTTTTTACCGGCAATCTATATTAAAGGGGTGAAAATCGCACTAAGAAATATGGACAATAAACATATTTGTTTCAAATTTCTATTTCAATTATTTTTTATTTCTCAAATTTGCTGTTTTTTATTATTTTCGTAAATTTGTCAACTGACACTATTTTCTATACAGTTTTCGAGATATTAGACTGAATATATCTACACGTCTCAAACTTCGAAGCAGATTTTCACCCCTTCGCTGTAACGATTATCCAAAATAAAAAAAATACGTGTTGAATATTTTTTTGAGGACTACTATATTCCAAAGTTTCATAAAAATCGGTGATGTTCCCTTGTCAGTAGAATTTAAAGAAATCTATTATTTTGAATATGTAGAAAAAAATAGAAAGAATACGAACGCTATTGCGAATAAAGTAATTTATGTTAAATGTATGACAAGTAAGATGTGAATCAGTTTAGACAGAATTCTATTGTGTGACATAACATTTAACGATAATTTTACTTTACTTACCAAGTATTAAATTAAATTGTTCATATCGTAATAATAACCCTTTAGCACTGAAAAGAAAAGGTGAAATATATAAGGTTAAAAAATAGCAAATTATATCAAACATACGAAAAACTATTTAATCTTCAGTTAACAGCATACGGAACAATATACTATACTAACATTCCTAAACGTGCTCCGAATGACATTAAAAATCAAAATTTCACAAAACACACCCACTCTATTCTTTCCACTTTTAAAAATTTCCAATTATTATACACGATACATTTAAGTAATACCTATGCGATAAAACGCAATTATTGTGCACGACACACGATCTTGCTTCTACGTATATTTCACCATAAGCAAAAATCCTTTATTTTCTAAAAAAGAACAGCTGAAACTCTCCAAATAGAATTTATATTTTATCGTTCCACAATTCAAAGAATATCTCAAGTACAAATTGTAAGCAACTCGTCCAACTTATAAAACATCTCCGCACCCGAAATACAATGGAGCTGATACAAAATCGAAAACACATTTCCCACTTCTTCTCCCTCGCAGCAGAGGAGTTATCGCGATTTCGTGAATCATAAAAACCATAATCCCTTCCCCCTGGTTTATACGCAATCCGTGAGCGTCGAATCAAAGGATATATCAGCTTCGAATTGAACGATACACCAGCTTCGACTGATTTCACGCACAGCCCCCTCGACGACTGGAATTCTACGGGAATGATTTCCCCTTCGATTGTGCGGATTGTTAGTTGCGTTCGAATATCAAGGGAATTTGAAACGTGCGTTGTATTTAATGTTTTGCAACTAACTAATCGGAACGGTTAAGTTGATGGTCGATGGACACGTTTCTCGTGAAATTTCAATCATTTAATCGCGTTAATTGTTGCTATTTATGACAAATGTCGTTCTACGAATTTCTATGCACAGTAACGTTCATAAGTACCAGGACACCCGTTGTGTGCGTACAGAAAGTATTGTACATAGAATTTAAATTACATTTCTTCGTCGAAGTTAATGTTATATATCAGTAAAAATATTATAAGAGGGTGTTAGCAGGGCCGTGTTTACCATAAGGCGCATTAGGCGCAAGCTGGGGCCTTACTGTCTATGGGGTCTCACTTTTTATGGGACTTCACACTCTATGGGACTTCACACTCTATGGGGACTCACTTTCTATAGGATTTCACTCTTTATGGGGTCTCACTTTCTATGGGACTTCACTCTATGGGGTCTCACTTTCTATGGGACTTCACTCTATGGGGTCTCACTTTCTATGGGACTTCACTCTATGGGGTCTCACTTTCTATGGGACTTCACTCTATGGGGTCTCACTTTCTATGGGATTTCATTCTCTATGGGGTCTCACTTTCTATGAGATTTCACTCTCTATAGGATTTCACTTTCTATGGGGTCTCACTTTCTATAGGATTTCACTCTTTATGGGGTCTCACTTTCTATGGGACTTCACTCTATGGGGTCTCACTTTCTATGGGACTTCACTCTATGGGGTCTCACTTTCTATGGGACTTCACTCTATGGGGTCTCACTTTCTATGGGATTTCATTCTCTATGGGGTCTCACTTTCTATGAGATTTCACTCTCTATAGGATTTCACTTTCTATGGGGTCTCACTTTCTATAGGATTTCACTCTTTATGGGGTCTCACTTTCTATGGGACTTCACTTTCTATGGGGTCTCACTTTCTATGGGATTTCATTCTCTATGGGGTCTCACTTTCTATGAGATTTCATTCTCTATGGGGTCTCACTTTCTATGGGACTTCAATTTCTATGGGGTCTCACTTTCTATGGGATTTCATTCTCTATGGGGTCTCACTTTCTATGAGATTTCACTCTCTATAGGATTTCACTTTCTATGGGGTCTCACTTTCTATAGGATTTCACTCTTTATGGGGTCTCACTTTCTATGGGACTTCACTCTATGGGGTCTCACTTTCTATGGGACTTCACTCTATGGGGTCTCACTTTCTATGGGATTTCATTCTCTATGGGGTCTTACTTTCTATGGGGTCTCACTTTCTATGGGGTCTCACTTTCTATGGGATTTCATTCTCTATGGGGTCTCACTTTCTATGAGATTTCACTCTCTATAG